AAATAATTAAAAAAAACATGGGTGGCACGAAACGGGGGAGGAACGAATCACCCCCCCAAAAACCGATTCCCACTTAGTAATATATATGGAATGGATATGTTTTAAACATGTCAAGTTTATGGCCCGCTCATTTCTAATTTGAGTTTAGAATTTGAGTTTTGCTACAGTAAAAAGTTCTCACAAACAATCACATCTAATTTTTTTACTACAGTAAAAAACTCTCATATAAAATTACATCTCAATTCGAATTAAAAACTTGAATCAACGAACTAAACGGACCCATATAACTTTTAGAATTAGGCAGTGTTTTAAGTATTTATTTTTCCAAATTTACCCCTTCACTTTTTCCTTTTTTATTTTTTCTTTTCTTTAATGCTTTCATCAATCCTTCTCTCTCCCCTCTCTCTCCCTCCTCTTCTAAGTCTCAACTCTTTCTCCCTAGATCGTAACTAAGTTTCGATTCTTTCTCTCATTCTCCGTCTTTCTCTCCCTCTGGATCGCGACTGGGAATGATTAGGTGGACCGTGGTTTGGTCCAAGCCGTGATGCTAGATTGTCGTATGGTTTTTGGTGATGGGTTGCTCCTAATGAATTACTTTAATTTTTCCTGTCAGGACTTGTTGATGTCGGTCAAGATTCGAACCACATGTCACGAAGGAGCTTCGCATTTTTGCTTGGGTGTGCGGCGAGGTGATGTCGGTGGCGTCGGCGGTGTATGTGGAGCGGTGTCAGCTACATGGGGTAGGCGGCGAGGGTTGATTGACGACAAATGGTGGGTAGCAATGTGGAAATTTTTTGATTTGGGGTTGATTTGGACATTACTGTTAGGGTTAGGTTTTTGATTTAGGGTTGAATAAGAATTTTTGGGTCAATTTGTAGTATAATTAATATGTCGAATATTTGTAGATAATATAGAAAAATAGTAAATAGTCTTCTTTGTTTTTGTTTTAAAAATGATGAAGCCAAATGATAGACTAAAAATAGCAACATATTTTTAGATTTTCTGATAAATATGATCTTTACAATTAAATATCAGTAAATACGATGTTTAACAGTCGTCGAATTTTTGGATAAATGTGGTATTGACGAGTAAACACGATATTTATAGGTCGTTGCGCCGGTAGTGACATTTTCAGATAAATATATTATTTACGTGTAAATACGATATTTATTGATAAATACGATATTTATCGATCGTCGGACCACTGGTCTTTGGTCACCAGTGCTAGCTGCTAGCCGCATCGCCGACCATGGTGGACCTAACTAGGTAGGAGAAGGAAAGAGATGGTTAAGGGGTATTTTTGAATTTTTAATATTGTTGGAAGTTTAAGATATTAAATTATGCTATTAACTACGTGTTTCAAAAAATTATGCTATAATTTACTAATCACCATATTAAATATGTAATTTCACTCATTCCCCCCTAAAAAAATTAGGATAAATTTTATAAATTTTCCTTAAGCTTTATCACTTATGTCAATATGCTATCTAAACTTTAAAATGTACATGTTTCCCGAATTATGACCCACTCAAAATTTTTTTCTTTTAAATTTCATATATATAATTAGATATTATATATATTAATATTAATAAGCCCCAACTGATATTAATGTTAATATCCTATTTGTAATGCATTAATAAATATTTATTTTAATTAAATTTTTTATTTAGTTATTAGTCCATTTCTAGCTCTGTCACTAAAGACATGTCATAGTTTGAAAGCACAACGTGCACATTTTAAAGTTCAGAAAATATGTTGACACAAGTAAGACTAATTCACTCAAAATACTTCATTCATCATCAAAAGAAAGAAGACTGAAAAAAACACGTGTTGTGTCTTTGTAGTCATGCAAAACTATATAATTTATTTGTATTGGCAAAGACTTTACACACATCACCGTATTTTTACTTCTTCTTTTTTTAAACAAAAGAATTGTGCATATGAAGGCCATGTTCTTTTCACAACTCAAGCCACAACTCGAGTTTTATTATTACAGTGTTTTCTCTTACAGAAATTAAAATTCAATTTTTTTGCTATAATATTTTTCTCTCACATACACAACTCAAGTTCTTAACTTGAGAAACAAACATACTAGAAGCATTTTTTTTACACACTAGTTGAGCATCATGTGCTATACACATGGAGAATAATTTGTGTGTTAAGTTTTAGTTACTGTGTTACTCTAAAAGCATATAAAATCTGAATATTAAATCCAAAGAAGGAACAAAATTAGAAGGAAAAAAAAATTTTAGGGCAAGAAGCAAGGAAAAAAAAAGTAAAGAAAGGACTAAAATGAAAGAATAAATAAGTTTTAAAGCAAAAGAGACCACAATGAAAAAATAAAAAGCATGGGTCAAAAACAACCAAAATAAATAAATTTTAGGTTACAAGAAAATAAAATGGAAAAAAATAAAATTTAAGGACAAAAATAAAAAAGAAAGGGTTAGAAAAAGACTAAAGTGAAGAAATAAATAAGTTTTAGGATAAAATGAACTAAAATTTAAAATAAAATAAAATTTTAGAGAAAAAATAAAAAAGGGTAAAAAAAGAACTAAAATCTAAAATGCAAAAAAAAAAAAAAGACCAAAACGAAAAAAATAAAATTTTAGGACAAAAATGAAAAAAAGGGAAGAGGCCTGAAATGAAAAAATAAATAAGTTTTATGATAAAATAAATCAAAACGAAAAAAATAAAATTTCAGGGCAAAAATAAAAAAAAAGTTGAAAGAAGACAAAAAAAAAGTAAATAAGTTTTATGGAAAATAAATAAAAATAAAAGTAAAATAAAATTTTAGGATAAAAATAAAAGAAAAAGGTCAATCTTATATTTTTTTTTCTTGATTGGTTGATAAAGAGCAAGCTGTTTTTTTTTTTTTTTTTTTTTTTTTTTTTTTTTTTTTTTTTGGTTAAAAAAGAGCAAGTTTTTTTTTTTTTTTTTTTTTTTTTTTTCTTTTTCTTCTTTTTCTGGCGTGGTGGTGTGTCGTGTGTGTAATCTCTTTAGTGAGTGCAAACTAATACAAAAGCAAGTTATCGAACAAGACAAAAAATAAGGTGAAAATTTATCATTACTCATCATTATAATACAAGTATTATTCAACGAATAATCTCCTACATTTTCTTTGGATGAAGTTAGTAAAATTACTGTAAGAAAGAAGATTGTTTGATTTGGTGGATTAATTAATGAAGTTTTATTGTTATTTTGAATGGTTTTTTTCCCTCCTGAGCTTTATTTTAATTTTTTTTTCCTTTAATCTATTTTTCGGGGAGCATTGTTTATTTTATTAATTTTTGTTGGCTTTCGTTCCCTCGTATTACGTGTGTTGGACACATAAAATTATCGTAATTTTAAAACCAACATTAAAAAAGGAATATTTTTTAGTAGACTTTTCCATCACATTAAATTAAAAATATATATAAAAAATAGCTTTCAATACATATTTAATATATAAAAAGTAGAGAACTCTCATTTTTTATAGTCCTTTTAGAGAAACTTAGTCCTTCTAGAGAAACTCTTTTCAGAAGGGGAAAAAAAACCTCTTGAGATTCGTTGAATTTTATTGTCCATTAATTCTTTTTTATTCGATAATCCTATGGTCATTTTTTTTATTTCCATTATCCTTTAGCTATTTGAGATCTTAAGGTTGAGTTTACAATTATTATTTCTTTTATCTGCTCGAATAGTTTTCTTTTGCTACTATTTTGCTCGAATAGTTTATTACAATCATAAGTTGCTGCAGTACCTCGAATGGGTAAAATGCAAATCAATGCGTCACATAATAGTCGTTAAATAAAAGAGAGAAGGACATCTATCTAAATCTAATAAAAGAAAAAAAAAATGTTTTTGGCCGAAAATAGAGAAATAAGTGGTGGATACAAACGTCAAATGGCATTACAACCAAATAAATGAAACATTACTAATTAGTAAGAGTGCGTTTAGTAAATATATTTAAAATTATAATTCTAGATCTTAATTTAGAATCAGTGTTTGTTTATAGTGATTTTGAATCATGATTCAAAATTAGTGTTTGGTTTTGATGATTTTAAATCATGACTCAGAATTTGATGTGATGTTTTAAACTAGCTCAAATCATGATTCTAAAATCACCCCCCTCTTGATTCATGGTGATTCAAACCCCTGATTTTGAATCATAGTTTTAGAATCATGATTTGAACCCAAAATCATGATTCATGATTTTGATTCTATAATCATGATTAGAATCATCCTGGTTTGAATCCTCGTACCAAATGAACCTTAAAATTTTTTATATTTTTTAAGTTAGGGTGATTTGAGTTCAGATCTTGATTTAAGTTAAGGTGTATTTGAGTATTGTTTGAGTTAGGATTATAATTTATGTTTGTGTTTGGATGTGCACATTTTGAGTTATATTTGAAATGATAATCTATTTGAGTTTGTGTTTGGGTTGGTCAAAACTTAAATTTGTATTTAGATAATATTTTAATAAAAACTTAATGGTGATGAAAAATTTTAATAGGGTATATGGATGAGATTTTATTCGTCTCTTCGTTGTGAATGCATAGGAAAAAATTATCTCAATCAGAATTAAAACAAAAAATTTATGACATTTTTAAGAATAGAAAAAATATTGTTCATTAACTTGAGTTGAAAGAAAAATTTAAATTTAAATTTTAACCACAAATTTAAGTTAAAACTTAAATTTTATAAAAGAACATAAACTTAAATAAAATTATAATTTTTTTTAGTTTAAATGCAACGGCCTTTAATAATTCAAAACCATAATTTGCACATTATATAGTAAAATTACTAGCAAATCTAAAAGCCAAAAAGATTAATGAAATATTAATTTAACACAAATGTTAAATAGAGAAAAAAAAAAAAAGACTTTTAATACCGAAACTACCCCTCTGTGCCACCTTGTTGGTTTCCGCGAGGCGCGACACATTTACTTGAAATTGGTATCCTCCCCCGCTACACGACACCAGAAGCGCCAGTTCTCTTTTGTTTTCCTCCTGGGTGTTGGTGAAAAATACTTGTACAGTGACTCAAGTTCACCTCTCTGACCTTCACCGGCTCCGCCGGTTCCCGGTCCCGGTCATCGCCGATGTTTTCTTCTACGCGCTTTTCAAAAAATCGCCGACTCAGCCGAGGACTGTCCTCTGACAGTTAAACACCACTCTCTCTCTCTCCTCATATTCTTTGCAGAGAAGGGACAGAGAGACCCAAGAAGAGGGGAAGAGAGACCGCGTAGTAGTGATTACGCGCTGAACTGTCAGTTGACCATGGAGTACCAGGCCTCCTCTGTGACTCTCTCCAAGAAGCTCTCCAACGGCCACAGCTTCGCCGGAGGTTCCGTGTACGACGGCGTTTTCGCTGCTCCGTCGAAGTTCGGTGTTCCGAACTTCTCGTCCCGCGTCGAGGACTACCGCGAGATTTTTGGTGGCTCCGAACCTTCTAGAGGCTCGTCGATTCCTTTCCTCGACGTGCCGGAGCTCACCAAGGGGAAGATTTCGGTCGACGTGAGGAGCTCACAGCTTGACTACTCGAAGATTTTCGGTGGCTTCGGAGATTCAACTTTCGCGGTGCATTACGAGGAACTTTCTGGAGAGCCAAACAAGAGGAAGAAATCTGAGGAAGCACGGTATATATGTTTTTTATGTTTGTGGCTGGATGAGAAAAAAAAATTATAGAACACTATTTTCAATTGGATATGAGCTTTAAAGCCCCTTAAATTGTTAATATGATCAGTATTTTCCGGTTTTTTATGTTCATATTTTTGTGTGCTTAGAAAAGTTTGAGCCTTTGACTTTGAAGTACGATTAGGCTTGCAGCTACAGGTCCATTGCTTGTTTCATTTTTGGTGTCTCTCTTCTACACAAACAGTTTTAGGGAAAATCCTCTTTCAGAAAGCCTTTTTTGTATTCTGCTTTCTAAACATAGATGTTTGCTTGTTGTAGAAGGAAAATAAGGATTAAACATTAGAGTTCTGGTATAAAGTTTTGCACTTGTCGTATTAGCCTTCTGTTTTGTTTAGTGTTTACATTTCTTCTTTTGTTCATTGACAACCATTTCTTGTCGAAGTAGACACAAACTTGTGGTGGTAGAAACTAGATAGTGATTATAAAAGGTGTTTCTTCTCTCTCTCTTTAATACAGGACAAATGCTGAAAGGTCATCACCTTCAGAAGCTTCAGAAAGTTCTAATTGGGCACCGGGGAACCCTGTATTATCACGGGAAGCATCTCACCAAGATCTTAATGGAGTCAAGAAGTTCAATATGTCATACAATAAAGTTAACAGCGGGAATGCAAATGGGACAAGCAGCACAAATGGAATGACTCATATAGCTCAGCTCAATGCTGTTCAAGGTTACGCACGCCTAATTGACGAAGTCACTCCCTTGCGCAGAGCTGAAGGTGATAAGCGTGTATTCTCAATGGTAAAGGATGCTTGCCCAGAAAATAATATTGGTGAAGGGATGATGGAAGGGAATCATTTCATAAGAACCACTGCGGATGTCCGAGCTGGTGAGATTGGCAAACAGACTTCCGGAGGTGATGTTGTATTTCAAAATAACTCCAATTGGTTTAAGTCCAATTCCATGAGTACTTCATTTGACAGATATGAAGTTGGTCATGGAACCCGTCCTTCAAAGTTACCGCCATCTTCAAGCCTACCAAGTAACTTTAACTTAGGTAATACTTGTACTAATGAAGATTCTACCAATGCTGATTCACCTCCATACTTTGATGAGGAAGTAGACACCAATTCAGTTGCTGCCACCTCTGCGGCTGCATTGAGAAAGGCAATAGAGGAGGCTCAAGCAAGGATAAAAATGGCAAAGGAGCTAATGGAAAGAAAGAAGGCGAGTCTTAAAAATGGAGGTAAACAAAGCCTCAGTGATGGAGTTAAATTTGACGAGCGAAAGGAATGTAAAATTGCATATACGGTAAACAGATCCAAAAAGAAGACTCCAGAACTATGTAAAATAGATGATCCATTGCAAGTGTTTTCTGATACAAGACAGCAAAATACTGCTGGACCATGCCAAGGGGCTACAAATTTTGAAATTCGGGAAAAAGTTCCAAGTTCCAAAGAATTTGATGGTAAGACACCTTGGAAGAAGATATCAAGTCAAGTTGATCATGGGTGGGAGGAAGCTGAAGTATCCGAGGTAGAACAGTTTTTTGAAGTTGAGAACACAGATGAAATCTGGCCTCCAGCAACAGAAGTGGATATTCCATTGCATGTTTCCGATGTAACAAGAAAGCAAAATGTGATGGGTACAGGCCATGTAACTGAAGACTGTGAAGTTCAGGAGTTTGTTGCAGGCACCAAAAGAGCTGACAGGGAAACACCTTGGAAGGAGCTTAGATCAGATCAACTAGATCATGGGGAGGAAAAGGCTGATTTAATGGAAGCAGGAGAACAATTTTTCGAAGTTGATAACACAGATAGGAACTGGGAAACAATACTGGAGTTCGAAGAGGTCAAAGTAATGCCATCTGCCTATGAGAATGAATGGAAGGAGAAAAAAATAGGCGATGAAGTGCTTGAGAAAGCACAAAGTTGTGGTATTTCACCCAAACCAGCTGAAGAGGAGGATAACTTGGGGCAAATAGAAAATGGAGTTGATATACCAAATGGAATTAGGGGAGAATCCGACCGTGGAAATGACGGTGTTAAATCAATGGTAAATGAAGAGGTTCCTGAACATGAGAAGAATGCGAGGAAGCATCAAGTTGCTGTAAATGAGGAAGAAAGTGAAGAAATAGGTCAAGCATCCTACGATAATGATAAATATGAGGAGAATTTAACAGAGTTTCAGGAAGATGTAAAAGATGATAAAATACTAGAAACTAAGGGGCTGGAGGACATCAAGCATGAAGAGGGACAATCAAGAACTTGCGCATGTGTTGAAATTAAGAAAAGAGGAGAGGAGGTCTGCAAGGAGGAAAAACATGAGGAAGGACAAAGTGATGCCCCCGAGGTGGAGGACAATGAGAACAGGTTTGTCATTAACAGATCTAGTGAGGAAATGATCAAGGAGACGCTTAATGAACTTCATCTTGGGAAAAAAATTGCCAAGATACTTTTGCGTGATGGTGAATTGGAAGCAAATGGGAAGTTTGTAGAGGTAGGCGGAAATCAGAAGATGCTTATTGGGGATGCTTCTCAGGAGGAAGAAAGTGAGAACAGACAAGAAGAGACTTGTCAAGGGGTAGAGACTGGAACGACAGGGACACAAATTGATCTCAGTGCAGGAGATGAGGAGAAGATGAAAGGAGCTCTAGGGGAACCTGGGAACAAGGGTAACAATCTTGGGGCAGCTGACAACATATGCAAGCAGGATGAAAGTGAGAACCTGAGTAGACATCAGAAACCCATTCTACATGCAGAAAATGATGAGAGTATGGAAGTGTCTGAACAGTTACCAGCATGTAAGGAGGATGAGAGCATAAGTGAAGCTCACTTGGAAACCAATGAAAGTAGGAATGGGCTAGAATCAGTGAAAGAAACGTATGATATGGAGGAGAGAGATGTACTGGAAACAGATGGCTTCCCTCAAGGTCTTGAGCTCACCAAGATATTGAGGCCAGTGGAGGATACAACAGAGGACTTTTTGGACAAACTTGATGCAAACAATATAGGCAGAATTTACATGAATTTTTTCCAAAATCCAAATGATCCGAGACAGTTGGAAATAGTTCATGATTCAAGAGAGCGTATTGAAGAATTGGCATGTGAAATGGAAAAATTCAAGGATAATATTAACGAATCTGAAGTTTCTCTTAATCAGGAAGGTGATAAGAATAACACTAAGTGCTTTGACGAACAAGGATGGGTTGAAGATGGTATTAATACGAAAGGAGCTCAGTCATCGGATAGTTGTGAGGGGAGAGAGGAAAATGTGGAACTGGATCAGGAGACGAAGATCAACCCCTGTACAGAAAAAGATCATGAACATCATGAAGAAACTCCAGTAAGCGAAAGTGCAGAGGAGAACGAGGAGAATTGTCAAGGAAGCCTGCCAAGGCAAAATGCAGAGACAGAGGGGAATGATCAAGCAACTGTGAATGTGGAAGAGAGTCCTACTAGTAGTAGCTTGCAAAAGGAAGTGGAGCTGGAGAAAGAGGGCCTGAGAAAAATAGATGAAGCAAAAGAAAGGGAAAGGGAAAGGGAAAGAGAGGAGAGAATAGCTGTTGAAAGAGCAATCCGTGAAGCTCGTGAAAGAGCATTTGCAGAGGCCTGTGAAAGGGCTGCTGCAGGGAGAGCAGCTGCTGGAGCTCGTCAAAGGGTAACGGCTGAGGCCCGGGAACGGGTTGGAAAGAATGCTGCGGAGCATAATGAGAAGTCTGTAGCTGAGAAGGCTTCTATGGAAGCCAAACTTAAAGCAGAACGTGCTGCTGTGGAGAGAGCGACAGCTGAGGCTCGTGGGCGTGCCCTTGAGAAAGCTATGTCTGGAAAGGCTGCCTCTGAGGCAAGAAAGCAGAATTCCCAATTCAAAGGTCCATGTTCGTCAAGCAGTTCAAGATACCCAAATTCTTCAAATCATGCTGGTATGTAATATTCTGAAGTGAGCCCTTTGAATTTTCTTTTTTTAATTTTTATTTTAATTTTAATTTTTTTGCCTTACTGTCAATAGATCACTGCCAAGGAGATTGTAATGTACAACTTATGCTCCTTCTGAACAATTTATGTTTTGCTTAATGAAGTTTCTAGCTCGACCGAGAGATCTGATGGAGCTCATGGGGAATCAGCTCAGAGGTGTAAAGCAAGGTCAGAGAGACATCAGAGGATAACAGAACGGGCGGTATGCTTCTATCTTCTCTGGTTTGAATCAATGGTGTTGAACAAAACAGACTTCTTCATGTTCTTTCTTGTCTCTTTCAGGAAAAAGCTCTTGCAGAAAAGAATAGGCGTGATCTACTTGCACAGAAAGAGCAAGCAGAGAGAAATGTAATATTCTGTTTTGTCAAAGAATTTTTGGCTGCAAGTGCTTACACCTGACGTTAACCTTACTATCTTGAACCTATTTTCTGTGACAGAGATTAGCAGAAACTCTTGATATCGAGGTCAAAAGGTGGTCAGGTGGCAAGGAGGGAAATTTACGTGCATTGCTTTCAACACTACAATATGTAATTTCTAGCCTTCTATTTGTGTCGTTATAAATGTGTATATTTGCCTTCTGCTTCTATTCACAAAAATTTCGTGAGATTTCATGTAGCATGGCATCTGAAATATGTCATATTTGCGACTTCTAAAGAATATTCCAAGTTGACCAAACCAAAATACACGTATCTTCTGCTGATTGCCTCGTCATTTTATTTTACCGGCCATGTGATGTTACAGAGAGAGAACATGAAAATTTTAAAGAGAATAAGAGAAATGATTATCATTAAAATTTAACAATGTTTGTATTAAGTATCTACTAATGGGAGTGACGTGTAGCACTATATTGATCGGAAGTTTTTAATTCACAGATCCTTGGACCTGAGAGTGGTTGGCAGCCAATCCCTTTGACGGACATCATTACAACTGCTGCTGTGAAGAAAGCTTATCGTAAAGCTACACTTTTCGTTCATCCTGACAAGCTGCAGCAACGGGGTGCAAACATTCAGCAGAAGTACACTTGTGAAAAGGTTTTTGATCTTCTAAAGGTGCGTTTTTCAACTCTGATATTCTTCTGTTGCATCATTGTCTAACTCGAAGAAGCACGTATAAGATTGGTGAAAACACTAAATTCCAGCTCAGGTAAAAGTCCAAGCGTGCTGTAGTGTAGTCAGGTGATCAAAGGTTGTATTTCCAATCCAATAAAAATTCCAACTGGTCTCCGTATGTACTTTTGATAAAACATTTCCCCCCTTTCCCTGCCTTGCCTGCATAATATACGCTGACAAAACGAAGTTTAGATGTTTTAAGAAGCTGAACATTATCTGATTTCTCATTTTCCTATTTACCAGACTTCGAAAACCTTGCTCACGTCTTGGATTCAGAGAACAAACAACACTTGAAGAATCTGAATATTTCTGGTTTTTGAAAACTCACTTGCTCATAATATTTGTCTTGCGTGTCTGCAGGAGGCTTGGAACAAATTCAACATAGAAGAGCGGTAGAGAATTGGTAGTTTCTACAGCTATTGGGCAGAACTGTACCAGACTTGGTTTCTAAAAGAATTTGTTTCAGCACAAATTAACAAACTTATTGGCATTCTTTCACCCATTAGAGCAACTTTCAGAATCCCAGTTGTAATTCTCAGGAACACTGGCATCAACAGAAGCTCATTTTTAAGCCCCTCAGAAAAGGGCCTTATTTAATTGTCATTGTTCGGGTATTTGACCGTGTGAAATCAAAGAAACAAGTTGTTTGGGTGTACATACGAACTAAATTTCTTCCCCATTCCTCTGCGGTTATTTATTTAATTATTTTCCCCTCTTCTCAAGTCCCTGGAAATCTAAAATAAATTAGCAGCTGTAAGTACATGAATTCGCTTATTTCGTCCAGCGAAAAGATTAAAGTGGACGGAAGTTCAGATTGGGTGAATGCACAGCACGTGGATAAAAGATCCCAAAACCCATCCATTTAAAATGGAAATGGCAAGAATTTGAGTCAAAATTGCCTAAATGTATTGCCTATACATTTAGAATAACCATTGAAAACTTATACGTGAAATTTGTAGAGCAAACTATTTTCTGTTTTCTATAAGTCACAAAACACGTATATACAGTTAAATATTTATATATATGTGAAAAAAGTGCATGTATCTATATATACGACATAGGAAGGGAGAGACGTTATAGCACTCCTCAAGTACAGAACAAGCACCTGCTTAACAATTATTATTAATATTATATATGCCATTCTCTCCCTCGGCAAGTTGAGCACGGTTTTCTCCTCAATCCGCAGGTATCAAAGGAAGTTTCAATTTCAAACAGAGCAAGATGATCTAAGGATTGAACATGATCTTACGGTTTATCTGCAAAAAACTACATAAGCACGAACGTAAATGCATACTTGCTCACATCAAAACATCCAGAGTTAATAGATTGCCGTTTCCTATTTTATGTTTTCTATAGTTAGATGTCGTTTCTTTACGGTTATTCGCGTTCATAATATCCTGTCGTTTTCTGAAGTCTAGTGTCGTTATTATTTGTTGTCGTTAATTCATGGCTGTGGCCTGCTGTATACGTGGCCGCCAGCCCTGCCACTACCCTCCCCAAACTTTTTTTTTTTTTTTTGGTGGCAGCCCTACTCTTGACTATTTCTCGCTCCCGTCTCTCTGGTTGGTCTCTATTTTCATCCCAAGCTCAATTTCTCAAGGAGAAATATTTATTTTCTATTTTTTTCCGGGACATATTAGCTAAAATTAATAGTTTAGATGTCGTATTAGTATTGTGAATTTATTTAAATAAATTTCAAATTAAGAATCTCTTGATTTTAGAAGATTTTGACACTCTGGCAACTTATTTGACTTTTAAGTATGCAACTAATTGTAATATGTACTTATATTGACCTGGTTGATAGTACTAATTGTTAGTAAGTTTTTGAGAAATCTTGGCAATTATTTTTTAAAAGTGTATGGATTTTAATTTTTATTCTTTACTATACAACAACAACAAGCCTTAATCCCAACTTAATTGGGGTCGGTTGTATGAATTTTATTTTTTCACGCAGCTCTGATCGAAATTAAACTTTTCTGAACGCCTAAATCTAGAATGTCTTTCATAACTACTTTGGTCCACGTAATTCTTGGTTACCCCTCCCTCTCGTAGTATTAAGTATAAAAATGTCCTCCCAAGCACGAATTAATGCTTTTAGCGGTCTACGTTGGACATGCCCGTATTATCTCAAGCGGCCTTCGCGTACTTTATCTTCTATTGGTGCTACACATACTTTACTACGAATAACTTCATTCTTTATGTGATCTATTTTCGTATGGCCACTCATCCATCTTAACATACGCATCCCTGCCACACTCATCTTAGATATATGTTGTCTCTTAATGGCCCAACATTCACTACCATATAACATAGCTGGGCGGATTACAGTCCTATAGAACTTTCCTTTTAACTTAATAGGCATCTTGTCATCATATAAAACTTCCGTACCATTCTTCTACTTAACCCACCTTGCCTCAATCCTATGTTGAATATCCTTTTCTATATCTCCTTCATACTGCACTATAGACCCAAGGTACCTAAACTTCCTAGAAGCCCCAATCTCCACACCATCTAAAGAAATTCCATCACTCTTACTTGAGTTACTAAACTTACAATGCATGTATTCAGTTTTCATCTTACTTAACTTAAATTCTTTCGTCTCGAGAGTCTGTCTCCATAGTTCTAACTTACGGTTAACTCCTTCCCTATGTTCATCAACTAAAACTATATCGTCCACAAAAAGCATACACCAATGAACTCTATCTTTGATTTCTCTTGTCAGCTCATCCATCACGATGGTGAAAAGATAAGGACTAAGAGCAGATCCTTGATGAAGGCTGATCCGAATAGGGAACTCTGTCGTGTAGCCTCCAGCAGTTTTCACACTCGTGATCACCTCATCGTACATGTCCTTAATTACATTGATATACCTCACATGCACTCCTCTCTTTTCTAGCACCCACCATAAAACTTTCATCGGCACTCTATCGTATGCCTTTTCTAAATCTATAAAGACCATATGTAGGTCCATCTTCGCTTCTCTGTACCTTTCCATCAGCATCTTAAGAAGAAAAATGACTTCCGTGGTTGATCTACCTGGCATGAAGCCAAATTGGTTACCTGATATGGTAGTTGTGGCCCTTAATCTCCTTTCAATAACTATCTTCCAAAGTTTCATAGTGTGGCTTATTAACTTTATGCCCCTATAATTATTACAATTCAGCACATCTCCTTTATTCTTGAAGATGGGGAAAAGAATATTTTTCCTCCATGCATTAGGCATATGCTTCTTCTTTAATATCTCATTAAAAAGCTTAGTGAGCCACACAATTTTAGCTTCTCTTAACGCCATCCAAAGCTCTATTGGAATATCATCTGGCCCACATGCCTTCCCCTTTTCCATCTTCTGTAGGGCAGTTTTAACTTCTGAGACTTTGATTCCTCTTGTATACATGACATTAGGTTCTCCTTGTGACCTAAGATTGTCAAACTCTATCGCATAATCATCATTATAAAGCTTCTCAAAGTAACTCCTCCACCTTTCCCTGATGTCTTTATCTTTTTTCATAACTTGATATGTATCATTCTTAACACACCTCACTTGATTCAGGTCCCGACACTTCCTTTCTCTTATCCTAGCTAGTTTATATATATCCTTCTCTCATTCTCTAGTCTCAAGTTTCCTATATACCCCATCTAAGTAAGTAGAACGAGCCTTACCAACTGCTCGCTTAGCTTATTTCTTCACTTCTTTGTACTTCTTTGTACTTATTGAACTTCCTCATTACACCACCAGGTTTCTTTCCCGGGGGGCCTTTACCTCTAGATTCCCCTAGTACCTCATTTGCTACTTTTCTTATGCAGCTGGCCATGGCATCCCACATAGTATTTACATTACCTATATATGACCAAGTAGCCTCATCTAACAACTTCTTTTTAAAGGCCAATTGCTTTATTCCTTTCAAATGCCACCAACGAGTTCGTGGGAGGTGGTTTATCTTATTCCTTCTATAACAAAGCTTAATGCTCACATCTAAGATTACTAACCTATGTTGGGTGGCTAGTACTTCTCCAAGAATTACTTTACAATTCTTACATAGAGAACATTCTCTATACCTTGTGAGAAAATAATATATCTGGCTCAAGTTCCTCCCATTCTTAAAAGTGATCAAGTGAGAATCTCTTTTCTTGAAAAATGTGTTTGTTATGATAAAATCATGTCCCAACGCAAATTCCAAAATAGATTTTTTTTCTTCGTTTCGAGCTCCAAAACCAAAACCACCGTGGATCATTTCGAAGTTTTTCCTATCCTTACCAACATGCCCATTGAAATCTCCTCCAAAGAAAATGCTATCCTCATTGCCAATACGACACACTAAGTCATCCATGCCTCCTAGAACTTGACTTGAATTTCCGCATCCAATCCTATTTGTGGAACGTAAGCACTAATTACATAGATGAACTTATTTCCTAGTACCAATTGGAGCATAATAATTATATCCCCTATTCGCTTAATCTCAACTACGTAATCCTTCACAGTTTTGTCCACTAGAATACCAACTCCATTGCGATTCCTTTCCCAAATTTTCAATCTCCTTTGCTTTCTCTCCTGTCCACTTCATTTCCTGTAAGCATAAAATGTTAATTATTTTTCTTACCATAACATTCACTAGCTCCATAGATCTACCAGTTAAAGAACCTACATTCTAACTACCTAAACAAATTTTCCTATCATGGGCTAGCTCTGTCCCTTGCACACGTCCATGAATGTGCAATGACAAGGACCCCCCTTGCATATTTTTCACCATATACGGGGCCCGATATGGCGCATGGGCTCGCTTTACCCCCCACACACGTCCATGAATGTGCGAAGACCCCCTTGCCTATTTAACACTATACCCGGGGCCCGGCATAACACGTTGCACGTAGGGAACGCCCCAACAGATTCTATGTGAGTGAAATCCATGAGAGTGACTTATTTTTACGCTGGCCGTCAAACTACCACAATCCTCATCCTTTACTCGGGCTTAGGACCGGCTATACAAACGCATAGGCGGAGTTTTTTTTATCCTTTACTATAAGGGGTAAAAATCCAATCCATACACTTTTAAAAATAAATTCAATAATTTTCTCTAAGTTTGTTTTTTTTTTTTCTTTCTTTCTTTCTTGTAATCTGTAAAAGCAAGCACATTGTCGAAACACATTAATTGTGTTTTCTTTTTCCTTGTATCCAGATATACAAACATGCCAGAACCTAACCCCAACAAAGGAAGAGAAAGCTCTATCTAATTCTCTCTTTTATTATTATTATTATTATTTTTGATAATCTGATGATTATTTTTTTTTTAATCAAACTATAAGGGAGTTGAAAGAACTAAGAAACATAGCACAGTGTTTGATTGAATATACAATTAATAATTCTGTCTCTTAGACTTATCTAATTCATTAAAGCTGATATGTAAACTGCATGATTGTTAATGCTCACTATCTAACTTCTACTTACGTTCCAAATATGCACATATGCGTAGCTTTCAGTAAAGAAAGAAAGAAAGAAAGAAAGAAAAAAGCACTAATGGACAAGTACAATATAAATAATATACTATAGGGTAAAAAGACATTCCGACCATCTCTGACCTTTTTATGCCTTACAACTTTGATCTAGAACCGCTTTATTGGTTGCTAGCTTAGCGACATAAACTCAAAAGGAATAATCTTTTAAATTAAGTCAATCTGAACATATAATTTTGTCTCTAAAGGGATTCTTTGGTTCTCATCTTAACCTTTTAATCATCATCACATATCTTCTTTCCAACATTTTCATCCAAAAAGCTTAGCTTATCTCACATTTTCCACCTTGGACGGTTCCAAATCCACCTCCGTGACAGCTAGCAATTATTCCAAATTAATTAAGGCCGGTAAATTTTAAATTAATTATTAATTTAGCTCGTTTTCGGTCGTTGTAATGCATATCAAAATTAGGCTCTCGTACATTAAAAAGAACAAATATATTCAAGAGCTCTCTGAAAGAAGAGAATTAAAATATGCAGTTTATCTAATCAAAACAAAGTACATAACCTTGCATGCGACCATACACAAAATCAAGAACGGTAACTTTTTTTTTTTTTTTCCTCCTTTAAGTAAAGCCGAAAGGAAACATTTGAACATTGATTGAAAGGAAACGTTTGAACATTGATTAAAAGGAAAGCAAAGGCAACAAAGAGAAATAATAATAATAATAAACCACATTTGACGACTGTTATCTTAGTACTGCATTACTCTCTTAAATTCTAATATCAGTTGAAACGCTTCTTTTATTCCTTCCATTTGGATGCTTCAATGCAATTTTAGATTTCTCAGCCTGCATAGAAAAATACGGTAAGAATATCAGCCATAACCGAAACCCAAAAAAAAAAAAAAAAAAAAGGGGAAAAAAGCACTGAAATTGAAGATTAATGAAGAAGAAATTCTCGTAGACATTATGCATATAATAATGACAAATCATGGTTGAACGATTTATTTTATTTTATTTTATTTTATTAAGGTCATGTGCCCAAAATCTGACTCGCATTCTTTTCGCATGCCATGTATGTAAAATATTAGCAAAACGAAAAGCTAGGCATAAAATATTTATCATATAGATTTGACAATATTCAATCTTATATACAAATATATATATATGTATATATATATATATGTACCTTTGTTCCTCATCCATAAAGCTGTTGTAGGCCTTGTTGTTGGCACCAATCTTTCGGTAATTGGGCAAAGGAACTTCACCAGCCTCAATCTTGTTGACATCTTCAACAAGCATCTCATAGTGTCGTTTCACTTCCTCAACGGTTTTCCCACCAACGGCTCTAGCCAGATTGTGCCAGCGATCGGGACTGTCCTTGTCGTAGATGGCCAGAGCATTCTCGAAGAGCTTGTTCTGCTTGGCCGTCCATGTACTCGAAGCCATTAGTATTAATGTTTCAAAGACAAGAAAATGATAATGAGAGTAATATGTGGGGAGGAATTGTAGTGAGATAGCTAGGTGTGGGTAATGGAGAGAACCATGCTGCTCTTTTTATAGTGAGAGGGGGAGAAAGTGAGAGAACGAGAAAGGTGGGGGTGATGAGTGATGTATGGGTAGTTGGTTTTTCTTGCAAAACAGTGGATTTGCGAATTGTAAATGATAACCTGCCTAGTTTTATTGTTTTATTTGCTTGTAATTTAAGTGGGGTTGAGGAATTGGCTCAAAACTAATTCCAAGTTATGAAAATAACAATAATAAAGTTATTCTCTTTTACATTTCTATTCATTTTTTTAACCACTAAGAGGTAGTTAATTAGCCTTTTAGAATGAGGAATGAAATTTTTTTATTATAGCAGAAAAATAAAAAATTGTAATATTGACAAGTAGGGATTCCGGTTTAATTCTACGGCCCCTTGAATCAAAATAAACTTGTTTGATAAAGTTATACAAAAGTAATTAACGCACAAAACCTGACACAGAATACAAAAGTTACCAATACAGGATTCGGCCCGAAGTAGTAAAATCTAACTCACAGTTTGTTCTGGTGGCGTGATAAACCATAGATTGTAATTATGTCTATAACTTGTAAAGGTGATTCTCATGGTTAAGTTGTTTCCATATAAAGTTTTACGCTACTGTCAGTCGCAGCAAACACAATTTCACCATTAGCGATCAATGGCCGGGAGAGTACCGCACCTCTGAAACTAAGTAGAAAGTATTAAACATGAAGATTGCAAGAAAAGAATTGTCAATCTAAACACCACACCTCTGAAACTAGGTAGAAAGTATTAAACATGAAGTTGCAAGAAAATAATTGTCAGTCTAAACAAGATTTAGCTCGACCTTATAGAAAAGGCAAGAAAAAAAATTAATATGTACTAACATAAGATAATTATATGGTAGGATATAGTAAATAGTAAATACAACTTCTGATCACTAATTGACGTGATAATATTTTAAACACATATAAATATAGAAATGACAACTTATACACTACATTAATTGATATATAAAAGTTGAGATTTTTGAATTTAGTATCCCTAACATTATTCTAATAAAAAATACCTTACCAAGTTAGATCTTCATCAAATTTTGTTAAACTGTTAAATTTATATTATTGTGATATGATTTTGATGTGATTTAATGATTGAATTGTGTCTTATCAGATCTTGCTACATAATTTTTAGTCATATTTTGTGATATTAAGTGGTAGTGGGGAAACAATTAAAGAGTCACAGACGTCGCATCAGATGGGGTCCAGGTTAATCCAGCGGCTGTACAACTTAAAGAACGTTCACGGGTGAACCATATTCGCTGCCTCAGTAAATTAGATCCTTCACGCTAAGAGTGCTGTCAAGCTGTTTGAAGGGGAACACATTATAATATATAGGTGTATTGTATATTGCCCTTTTCTTTACTTTTTAAGTTTTTCATGTTTTGTGTATATCAACTTTCGGGCGTTTTCTGCATCTCATTTTCTAGAGGTTACTCTTCTTTCTCAAGCAACCTTCCAAAACATTTTTAGCTGGATTTAATTACTATCCTTCTCAGCTCCGTACAATCACTGTAGTACACCCACCACAAGTCCACAAGTCAACCTCCTAATGCTTGCCGTGTGTTTACACTTTTTGGATGCTATTTTACAAACTTGCCTTTTTACGACCTTTTCTGCCTTGTTTTTTTTTTTTTTTTTTTAACCATTTCATGCCAAACATAGACAATACGTTTTGCTTTGTTTTATTGAGTCTGTCACTCTGCCCTGTAAAGATTTTCATCTGGTAAACGCAGCGTGGCAGTAGATTTTGCTTTGCTATGCTGATTTCAAAAATTCAAGATGGAAAATTTTCAATTCACATGGTTTAATAGTTTATCACATGAGCATGTTAGATTCTAAGTTAATTAATTAATAGAAGTAATTATAGGTAGAGTTTGTTCTTTTACCATGAACATGAGTTTTTAAAGAAAAAGAAACATGGACTCGTTCGCTTTGCGGATTTAAATTTTCAATTTGAATTGAGATGTGATATTTTCTAATAGCTTTTAACTATAGCAAAAAAGTTAGATATAACATTTTTTTAAAATTTTTAATTGTAGAAACTTTAAAATTAAAAACTCAAATCGGTTAAATGAACGATGTCATAATCTACTGATAGGCATAATCCTAAACCATCATAATTTTTAACAAGTTCTATTAGATTTAACTTCATATGATTTTAATATGATTTATAACTATGTCTTACCTAGGATTGTTTTTTTTTTCTTTTCTTTTCTTTTTAATTTTGAATTTCTTGTAATCTTACTACTTTGTTAGAGCAAAATCACAGCTGTGTACGTGGTAATGTTCCGGTATTTAGTGCAATTGCCTAATCAAAGCCAGCACTGAAATGTACTTTGGCTCCTCTGAAGTCCAAACTTTCATCACTACTTCATAGATGGTGGGTCATTCGTCTGTTGGATATCAACAAGCCATGGAATTTCTATTTGCAATGTGTGGACAACAGAAAGTGAATAAATACCCTTTGTATAAATATTGCTATTCATTGAAACATGATGAACGAGAGCGACAAGCGAAATCATTGGCCTGGTTTCAGAATCTTTGGCTCCTTGACTGGATCTTTTTTTCTCCCTCTACCTCCACGCAATAAAAGAGAATATAAATCATACATAAAAGCTATGGTTTTAAGATACTCCTGAGTGCTTCTTGATAATTTGTTTTCCTTTGATCAAATATATCCGAGACATTGAATAATTTTGTGTTATCTTGATACTTGCAAAATGAATGGATTTCCCAATATTTTTCATTTAGGGATCATTAATTTTAAGTATGACGATTTAGAAACAATTGTTCTTAAAAATGAAATGTTGAATAAATGATGACAATAATTTCACATCCATTTTAACGTTTAAGTCCCCGATTTTTGAAGATGTTTTTTTAAATGCTTACTGATGAATTACGGCACCGTTAATTTCACCGATTCGAGTTTAGAATTCAAATTTTGCTACAGTAAAAAACTCTCAGAAACAATCACATCTAACTTTTTTGTTACAGTAAAAAACTCACATGAAATCACATCTCAACTCGAATCAGCGAACGAAACGAGCCCTACATATATACATATATTAATCAAATTTACATATGTAGATATCATTTTTTACAACCTAACAAAAAATTATTCTAATCTGGTACTATCACACTATATTAATTTGGTGACCAAATTTAGTATGGTGATTGGTCTTAAATAAATACGTCTTAGAGTCCGTTTAAAAGATATATTTAAATCATAATTATTGATTCTAACGTTTAAAATTTTAATTTTTATAAAAAGAAATATTATAACAGAATTAATGATTTGAGTTTGAGTTCTATGAAATAAACATGTCATTAATTGTTACCTTTGGATATGCGCTGATGGAGAGGATATATATCATATATGTGATTGTCCTCGTTGAAAACAAAACTCTGCAACTTTTTGAGGAGAATCCGAGTGTGCACATGACCACATAAAACTGATCTTTCAGCTAGTACAGGATTTTGATGATAAATGTTTAGAATCCTTATCATCCACGTCCGATGCAATAAGAGTTTATCTATCTGGATTCCTTTTGTTTCATTCTCAAAAGGCATCAAACTAATTTTTCTTTTTTTACCTTTTTTTTTTTTCCCTGGTGATCCTGATTGGGCAAGTTGGAAATGGCTCAGGATCACCTTTGGAGATCCGGTGGTCATAACTCAATTTGGCATATGCGATATTTGTTTGGATTCTTTTCAGACCAAGACTAGATGGTAGATACTTGATAGCTTCACTCACACAATGCGACTGGTTATCACAATAGGGATGATTCACATATATATTACTTCTACTTCAGGAGAGAAATTAAATTGATCAAGATCTGTCATGTTACATAATCTGTGCGTCAAGTACACATACTATATAAAGTTCTTTATATTGCAAAATTTTCTGTTGCTATCAGAATTTATACAAATCAGGAGGAACACATGTTAAAAATACAAATGAAATACTCTTTGACCGTATTAAAGTACATATTATATGATTGGACATAACTATGCATACATATACATATGTATATATATTATATCATATGCTATTTAATTATGAAGTACTGATCATTGGATGGTAGCGACAAGTCGTCCAACTTTTTGAGGGGTCTTGTTCTGAAAGGTGATAAATATTCACATATATATATGGTCGTCGAATACATCAAGCCAACTATGCACATAGATACTTGGAATCCATAATATATCGTTAAATTTGATCCGCATTATTTCTGGTATAAAGTGATGATCTATCTTGAAGACTGACGTGGGACTAATATATCCTTTGTTATAATTTCAAAAAAAAAAAAAAAAAAAAAAAAAGGAAACCTTTGTTCTTTGTCTATCAATAACCTTTAAGCACTACTGCATATATTGAGCACCTTTTATCTTCTCCCTCGGCGGTCCCTCCCCACAACTTGGGGTTGGCCTGATTGGGCAACGAATGTTCCGAAGCAAATGAGAAATGTGATTGATTTGATAAGTGATTCTATTGGGTGAGATTAATTGGAGGAGTCAACTATTTCTGCTTATATACTTGTTCAGCACCAGGGAAACCATGAACCCCACATTACTTTTCGAATATTATGTGGAACCATGTTGTTGTTCATCAAATTTTAGCTCAAACAACGTGATATGTAACTTGCTAAGTTGTTATGTTATAAGTTTTTAAATAGAGCTATAAGTTTGGGTAGGTCAAACGGGTGGTTGTCTCAAAATTCAACTTTATAACGTGATTTTGTCCCCTAATAAAACATATGGGTTGGACTAAAGGTAAATCTCAAATGAGAGAATTATTAAACTTATTCTTAAGAATGCAGGTCTTAATTTTTATTCTCAATCTTGATTAATACTATTTTAATTAATATAGTTATTTGACTAAAAGGATATTAATAAGAGAAAGGAGTAAAAATCTGTTGGCAAATTTAGTAGCAAAATAAGAAATGGG